AGTTGTTATCTGGTCAGTTTCCAGGTTTCACAATGAATCTCTGAGGATGATTGCTATCTGGTCGGATCCAGGCTTCGCAATGGCTTTCTTGAAAGGACGGAAATGAGGAATGGTATCTGGTAGGATCCAGGTTTCTCAGTCCTTTATTGGGGATAGAGAGGCAACTCTACTGGGGAGAAGAAGTTAAAACCTTGGTCGGATTGAGTTCAAGTTCTTCTATATATTTGAAGAGTTAGGCTATTATCTGGTCGGGTCCAGGTTCCATAGCATTTGATAAATGAGATCAACTGTTATCTGGTCGGGTCCAGGCTTCAATAACTCAAGAAGTCAAACTGTTATCTGGTCGGGTCCAGGCTACAGTAATAACTTGAAAATTATGCTAATATCTGGTCGGATCCAGGCTTCATAGCATTTCTTGGAAATAATAAAGGCTTTGTTGAAGGCTTTACTGGAGATTAGGGGTTGTGGCCCTGTGATTTGTAGTAATTTTCAAATGGAAATTCAAACTAGAGAGTACAGACTCAGTCGGGTAAGGTAGACTCAGTTTGGGGAGGATACGCCCAACTGGGGATGACAGGCTCAGCCGGGGATAATGGGCTCATCTGGGGAGGATAGATTCTGTTTGGAGAAGATAGCCTCAGTTGGAGAAGATGTACTTAGCTGGGCAATTTGGACTCAACTGGGGAATTTGGGTTCAGCTGGAGAAGATATACTCAGCTGGGGAATATGGACTTAGCTTGGGGATAAAAACCTCGGTTGGGGAAGATATACTAGCTGGGGAAGATGGGCTCAGCTAGGCAATTTGGAATCACTGGGGAGTGTATACTCAGCTGGGGATGATGGGCTCAGCTGGGTAATTTGTGGTGTCTTGGTCGTTGTACGTTGAGAAATTTGCACTTGGTTGGGGAAAATAACCCTGTTGGGGAAATAAACCATGTTGAGGAGGTGAATTCCCTTTAGGAAGAGATCTCCTAGGCTTCAATCTTGTAAAAATTGATTTAGCTGGAGAAAGTTGCCAAGAGGTTGAGACTCTGGCCAGGGATTATCCTATGTGAAGAGATTTTTGCAGAAAACTCCGCTGGGGAAAGGTTTATTGTTGTTGTCCCTATGGGGATAATGATGATGAGATAACTCTGTGGGGCTACTTCATATACATTAAAAGGGATGCTTACTGCTGATGTGCGTTGATGCTCTGTTGTTGATGTTGCTGCTTAGCAGGACACACGTGCCAAACAGTTTTAATTATGTTCATATGCATATGTTCATTCAATTTTAGCAATTGGACAAATTTGCATTCAAAACAAAGACAAAAAAATTTTCACTTCAAAATGTATTTGTATTGATATTTTGCCCATGAATAGGCGTTTTTGCACATAGAGGCGGAGATCCTAGTAAGAGGATATCGCCAAAAAGGAAAACAAAATTGAGAATAAAAACAAATAGACATGTGAAATGATCTTATTGCCTTCCAGCTCTATTATTGACCCAATGTCTTTGAACGTCCCTTTCCGTTGATCGAAATTGATTGGATTGATCCTGGACCATTTGAACTTGGACCTAGGTGATAGCATTGACTGTGTTGATTTCACGAGACATAGTCGTACGCTTTAATCCTTAATTTTTGCCTGAACCTCCCTTTCGGGTTTTCAGTCCACCAGGATACCCTTTTTTGCCCAAGTCGCCCTTTCGGGTTTTCAACTTGTCGGGTGTGCAATCTTTTGCATATATCCCTAATTTTTGCCCAAACCTTTTGGTTTGCCGGGATTCCCTTATTTTTCTTAGGCGTGTCAACCTAACGGGTCTCTTATGCATAGTATTTTTTGACTATGTCCGCGTTTATAGGATGCAGGAAATATTTACCGTCTATGGTGGTCAGTATCATGGCACCGCCAGAGAAAACTATCTTGACAACAAACGGCCCTTCGTAGGTGGGAGTCCATTTTCCTCTGGGGTCACCTTGTGGTAAAATGATGCGTTTTATCACCAGGTCACCAACTTGATATACTCGAGGCTTGACCTTTTTGTTGAAAGCTTTGATCATCCGTTTTTGATACGTCTGACCATGGCAAATAGCAGCTAATCATTTTTCATCTATTAGGTTCAGCTGATCCAATCTCGTTTGAATCCACTCGTCTTCGCCTAGGCCTGCCTCGATCATAATTCTCAGCGAGGGAATTTGAACTTTCACTGGTAAAACAACTTCCATGCCATAGACTAGAGAGAAAGGAGTTTCCCCAGTTGATTTCCTAGCTGAAGTACGGTAGCCATGTAGAGCAAATGGTAACATCTCATGCCAATCCTTATAGGTCACTACCATTTTCTGCACAATCTTCTTGATATTTTTGTTGGCTGCTTTGACTGCGCCATTCATTTTCAATCTATACGGAGAAGAATTGTGATGCTTGATCTTAAATTGAGTGCACAATTCCCTGATCATGGGATTGTTGAGGTTAGTCCCATTGTTGGTGATGATCCTTTCGGGGATACCATAACGGCAGATGAGGTTGTGTCTGATGAATTTGGCTACCATATTCTTGGTGACTGAGGCAAATGAGGCGGCTTCGATCCATTTGGTAAAATAATCGATGGCGACAAAAATGAAGCGATGTCCGTTGGAAGTAGTAGGTTTGATTTATCCGATCATGTCAATGCCCCACATCGCAAATAGCCATGGAGTGGTCATGAAATTCAGAGGGATTGGAGGTACATGGACCTTGTCAGCATAGATTTGGCATTTGTGACAAGTTCTTAAATGTTGATGGAAATCGGTCTCCATCGTTGACCAATAGTAGCCAGCTCTTAAGATTTTCTTAGCCATCGTATGTCCACTTGAGTTAGTACCAAAAAGGCCATCGTGCATGTCTTCCATAATTTCCTTTGCCTCCCTCTTATCCACACATCGGAGTAGAGTTGAATCATGGTTGCGTTTGTACAATATCCCGTTACTTATGAAGAATTTGGCTGCAAATCTTCGTAAGAACTTTCTGTCATTGATAGATGTCCCTTATGGATACTCTTGTGCTTCAAGGTATCTCATTACCTCATGGTACCATGGCTTTTCCGCATCGGTGTCAAGCTCATAGAAATGTGAAGGTTCATAAAATCTTTCAATTGTAATCATAGGGGCTTCGTTATCCCATCTGACTTAAAACATTGAGGACATGGCTGCCAAAGCGTCAGCCAACTGGTTTTCTTCCCTAGGGAAATGTTCAAAAGTGATTTCTTCGAAGTGAGGAATCAGGGATAGCACAAGTTCCTTGTAAGGGATAAGATTAGGGTGTTTAGTGTCCCAATCTCCTTTTACTTGGATGATCACCAAGGCGGAGTCTCCAAACACATCCAAATGCTTGATCCTTAAGTCAATGGCAGCTTTCAGACCTAAGATGCATGCTTCATACTCAGCCATATTATTTGTGCAATCGAAGCATAGTCTGGCAGTGAAAGGAGTATGGCAACCTTCAGGAGAGATGATCACAACACCAATTCTGTTTCCTAAGGCGTTGGAAGCCCCATCGAATACCATAGTCCATCGGGATCCTTGTTCAGGTCCGTCATACGGTCTAAGTTTCGCGCAGTCGGTTACCAGCATAATATTCTCGTCAGGGAAGTCGAAGTTCATTGACTGATAATCATCCACAGCTTGATGGGCCAAATGATCTGCTAGTACACTTCCTTTGATGGCTTTTTGATTTATGTATTGAATGTCGTACTCAGTCAAGATCATTTTCCATCTGGCTATTCGTCCAGAAAGGGCAGGTTTCTCGAAGATGTACTTAATCAGATCCATCTTAGAAATCCACAAAGTGGTATGAGTCAACATGTACTGCCTTAGCCGGCGAGTAGCCCATTCTAAAGCACAACAAGTTTTCTCGAGCAGTGAATATCTGGTTTCACAGTCAGTAAACTTTTTGCTTAGGTAGTAAATTGTATGCTCTTTCCGGCCAGACTCGTCATGTTGGCCCAAAACACACCCCATAGAATTCTCTAGTACTGTCAAGTACATGATCAAAGGTCTTCCTTCAACTGGAGGCATGAGAATAGGGGGTTCTTGTAGGTATTCTTTGATTTTATCAAAGGCAATCTGGCATTCATCGTTCCATCTGACTACCTGATCTTTCTTCAAGAGTTTGAAGAGTGGCTCACAAGTAGCAGTTAAGTGTGATATGAAACGGGCAATGTAATTGAGACAAACCAATAATCCTCTAACTTCTTTTTCAGAATGAGGGATTGGCATTTGTTGGATGGCCTTTATCTTGGCAGGATCAACTTCAATGCCTTTATTGCTGACAACAAAACCTAGAAGCTTCCCATAGCGTACTCCAAATGTACACTTGTTAGGGTTTAACCTCAGCTTGTACTTCTTTAGCCTCTCGAATAGTTTGTGCAGGTGACCGAGATGTTCTTCTTCGGTTTGTGATCTAGCAATCATATCATCCACATATACCTATATCTCATGATGAATCATCTCATGAAATAAAGCAACCATCACTACTAAAAAAAAGACATTTGAGAAAATGTTTTTACATCGGGTATCACAATATATGATGTAAAAAATACAATTAACAAACTTTTTACATCAGATATTTATTTGCAATGATATAAAAAATATGAAAAAAAATATAGTTCGCTACCTATTACATCGGGCAAACGCATCCACCGATGTAAAAAGTTTTCAGAAAAAAATACGGTGGTATTTTTGTAAATAAGAAACAAGGTAGTAGAAATATTAAAAAAAAACATGCAACATATTACATCGGTTGACTAAAAACCGATGTAATATCTTCACAACAGATATTAATATAAAAAATAAATTAAAGAATAAATTAATTTTTTCGCAACTTATTACATCGGTTGAAGTTTAAACCGATGTAAAAAAGCCAGAAAAAAAGCATGCATCGGGTATTACAATGCACCGATGTAATAGGTGCAAAACCCTTACATCGGTTGTAAGGATCCACCGATGTAATAGGTTGTCCACTAAGCCAACCCTTACATCAGTTATGCATTTCCACCGAGGTAATAGCTTCCAAACCCTTATTTCCCAAATTTCATTATTTCCACTGTATAATATTCCTTGGCCGCCGTTTCCACTGTACGCTCACGCTCACGACCCAACCACCGCCGTTTCACTCCTTTCCACTGTACGCTCATGCTCACGATCCAACCACTTCCGTTTCCCAGCCACCATCATCGACCGCCGTTTCCGAAGGTTTTCGACCGTCGTTTCGACCGCCGTTTCCGAAGGTTTTCGACCGCCGTTTCCGAAGGTTTTCGACCGTCGTTTCTACAGTATTTTTTATTTTATTGTTTCCATTCTTGTTATGTTTTCTCTACCTCTTCTTTTGTATGACATTATTTGTTTGGCTAGAAGCCTTCCACTTGTCTTTCGTCCACATAGATAATTTTTCAAATGTTTGGTTAAACGCAGGTACACATGAGTGTTCCTAATGTTGGACAATTTATTGATTTGCTAATTTCTGTTCCAGCTGAGGGACACAATAATTCCTTTGCTTATGTAATGTCAGAATGGGCTAAGCAACAAGGTAAGTGTCCTTGCGCTGTGGTGTTTGCTAAGTAAAACTCGAAATCAATACTGAAATTGATACTGACATGAGAGATCTTAGTCACTTGAGTTAATAATAATCTAGCCACCTGAATTAATAAGCTCTATACAAAATAAGTTCATTGTGTAGTTATTCAATCATGTGATGTCAATGAGCTCAAAAACACCCTTAATCTCCTGTTACTTTTTGTGACATTGTAAAACTTTTTTTACACAAGTATCTGAAATTTGATCAGATTTGTTACTGTCTCGTATGATTTTACCGAGAGCTTCTCTCCATTAAAACACATACATACACATGAGCATGATAAATAAATCTTCTACACATAATATACGATTGCAGGTGAGATACATGGGGGCCTATTCAATAAAAGTAAAACACATATATGCACATGAGCATGACAAATAAATCTCCCATACATAATGTATGATTGCAGGTGAGATACAGGGGGCCTATCAAATAAAAGTTACTACAAGTGCCCTGGCCTTGTTGCTAAATAGCAGACACAATGAACTGGAAAAAATTCAAGTTCAAGGTCATCTGATTAAGGTATTACCGTGATATTATTTATGTATCATTTATTTTTGGTTTTAACAATGCTTGCTGAGTTTTTCAAACCTATTTGTCATGTGAAGTCTGGCACAGGAATAACCACAAGATCAAAAGCTAAATCAGCTCCAAATCAGTGGGTAATGTTGCCACTTCCTACAAAGGTAATTCATTTTTTCGTAGTAGCGGAAAGACAAACACTAAATTGTCTGTCCATCTACTTTATTTATTGTGCTTTGTTTTATATATATATATATATATATATATATATATATATATATATATATATATATATATATATATATATATATATATATATATATATATATATATATATATATATATATATATATATATATATATATATATATATATATATATATATATATATATATATATATATATATATATATATATATATATCATTTTTTTATTTTTTATATAATATAATATTCATTTAAATATAATTTGCTTGTTTTAGTTTCATAATATCTATATGCTAATTGAGCTTATCTAAGGTTCGCTATTATGTTGTATGTTTTCTAATTTAAATTTGAAAATGAATAGGCTGTGAAGGACAAATTTGTACAAAAAGAGGTCTTACCAAAAAGGGTATATACTTGTTCATTAGTCATTGGAACATCTGAGCATGGAGGTCGTGTTCGTGGTGTTGGAAAACACCATAAACAAAGCACTTACTTTGGAAGATCACGTCAACATATCGACGTAAATGAACAACTTGTAATATTGGAAACAAAACTTAGAGCTGAACTTGAAGAAAAGTTGGTTGAAGAGCGTAAGATGTTTCAACAATCATTAATGGAGACACTTAAGTCCATGGGTTTATCACAAAGCACAGGTGATAATAAATGCATTGAAAAATTGGAAATTATCGATGGAAGCGGAAAAGGAAGTTGTTCAGCTGCAAAGGGAAGCACAAAAGAGAGCACAAAAGACGTGGAAGTTGATGATGTTCAGAGATTGTTACTCATGGTTTTGAAAATGGATGATAACCATTTGGCAATACAATTAAGTCATTGTGCGAGTGTCTCTAATTTCTATGTTTCATCTAAATGTATCAGAGAGTTATTGGTGGGTTTAGGTCATTGGCTTGACGTGTCTATTCTGCAAATTTGGTGCACGTAAGTACATTTTATTGTTTTATTAAAGTCAATTTATATTAATATGTCATATCTCTCATCACTTTGATTGTAATGTTTATTTTAAAATTATTCAGGTATATTCATCGTGTTTGTCTTGAGAATTCCATTTCAGAATTATATGGATTTATGGACCCTGCTAGGTGTATTTATAATAATAGTGTAGCGAAATCTCAAGAAGATGTTAAAAATTACGTACTACAAAAGTTACGTGATGAAAACAGAGTGTGCCACTTACTACCATTAATTCATGGGTAAGTATTTATATATAATTGTGTTTTATATTATTTAATTTTGATAACATATATATTTTATGTGACTTTTCTGTTTCCACACACACGTACAGGCATAGGCGGAGCCAGCGTCCGGCCAGATAGGGCAGCTGCCCAGGCTCCTCCGTCACGCTTCACCATCCCATTGTAGCCAACAAAAAAACGCGTAAGGAAAGCGATTATTTTTTTATGCACTTTTTCCTCTCAAGCGGAACAACTTTTGTTCGAATCGTGGAAAATGGAAACAGGAACAAAAACGGAAACTTGAAACGCAGCAGGTTCAAACCGTGGAAAATTGCTTATCTCGAAAAGGAAAAGTGTCAAAACGTGCTTATTTCGGAAATGATTCTCAAACTCAAATATCGGCACAGGTTTGATGTTCTGAATTTTCAGATTTTAGTTTTAAGCTATGGTGTTTTGGTAAGCTATTTTACAGTTTTGACACACTTACGGGTATGCTATAACTTATGATTCTGAGCTATTTTCTATGCAAATTTGGTTGTGAACTAAATAGATAACATACATAACGATAAATTTAATGAGTACAATCCCTGATGAAGCGATGAGGAGAATAAAACACAGCTTTTGATCCTGCTCATAAAGTGTTCGATAAAATGCCTCTGCCGGTTCTTTCTTCTTTTTGCTTCTGTTTCAGTTCAATTCTCGCTACAACATTGTTGTTATTTATTGTTGTTGCAAGTTGTGGTTGACGAATTGACGGAGAATTGGTGCCGAATTTTTTATTTCCTGTTATACCCACCAAGTGTTTGGTAAAAATTATGAACCGAGATTCTTCTTATTTTATCTTCTTTTTGCTTTACTGGATTTTTGATAATATAACCTTGATTTGTGATGGTGCTTCTGGTATTGAGTTCTTGAATTTCCACACTTGATGATTGTTGATTTTTTTTGTTGATTCTTGAAGGTTATGTGAAGATGGTTACGGAGAAAGAAGAATGGTGCTTATTGGAAGATTATGGTGATTACAAAGTGTTGCATATTTGTGGCATTTGGTTTTGAGTTAACTATGTTTGAGAATTATTTTTGTTCTTTTGATTGTTAATAATTGGTGTTATAGACTATAAAGTATATATAAACTAAGGCATTGGCTAATGAATGAATTAGTTTTCTGATAAATTACTTTTGATTTGTTGTTTGGTGTAGGCAACAAAGAGAGCAATGGGAGCTAGGGTTAATACAACCAACTTCAAGAGAGAAAGTATTTTTTCACTCTCAAATGGAAAAGTAAATTTCTATAATTTACATGTTTTAAATTTTTTCAGCTCCTCCATTGGTACAAGTATACTAAGAAAAGACAAAACTAAAGTATTCCCTTCACATAATTTTTCTAGCTCCGGAGCCAGTGAAAACTTGCCCAGTCTTCTTAATTTTTTTGGCTTCGTCACTGGATTTCATCTTTCTGCAACTGCAGAACCTGACAATATTTTTATAGTCGATGGGAAAAAGGTTCAATAATTTTCTTTAGAAAAATGTTGACATTTTTATTTTATTTTCAAAATTATGTCTTCTATGGTTGAAAATGTGGGCTTTAAAACATACATACTAATTCCTAACAGAACCATATCTTGTGAAACTGCAGTTATAACATTAGATAAGGATCCTTTATAATGAACTTAATTCTAAACTAATAGGGCTCTTTATAATGAATTTGATTCTAAATTGAGCTATTAGGTTCATATGTTATCATTGATTTAGTTCAAAATGCACCATATTAGGCAACAAAGAGGGCATATGTCAACTACTGTCTTGGTAGAAAATTATGAAGCCACTGAAAGAGCCAATGAAACTTGCCCAGGCTTCATAATTTTTCTGGCTTCGCCACTGCGTACAGGAGACATTGGCAATTAATAGTCATGTGTTCAAGAGACAATTTAGTTGTCGTATTTTGTTCACTTCATCGAGAAATTGACAATCACACGAAGAAAATTATTACAAAGTAAGTTTATCTTTCATGTGACTTTCATTGACAACTAATAGTTATGTCATTTTTCATTGGCGAGTAAATTTAGCTATGTGATGTTTATCTTTCTGTATTAGTTCTTTTGGGATTCATCAAATGGCAAATGGAAATAGAAAAAAGGCTACATGGCTTCATCCCAATGTAAGTGTGATGTAAATTGTAATTATATAGTTAAATTTATGATAAGTATTCACTAATTATGTCGTTCAATTGTAGACAAGGCAACAACATAACTCTAATGATTGTGGATACTATGTGATGAAAAATATGTTGGATATTGTCTCTGCTAATATAACCGAGAATTGGATGCAGGTACTAAAAATAACTTTACTTTGTTATTTACTTTTTATTTTTCGACTTAATATGAATTTTTAAAAATTAACTCTATATTGTTATATTTATGTATTATAGGTATTTGATGACCCAACAGAATTAAAACAACATGATTTGTATGATTTGCGACTTCGTTGGGCAAAATGTTTCTTTGAGTTACATGCAAATTAAGCTTATCTTGGTGAGTTTTATAGAATTGTATAAGTTGTGGTTTTTGCACAATACATATGGTTTTTGCATATTTATTGAGTTTCTTGATTTTTTTGCTGATGTTAATTGTTATTATTTATTGTCAGGCAATGTGATTTTGGTGTTGTCTACCGAAGATTTTATATTGGTAATTTAAGTTTGGAAACTTATAAATAGTTGAATATTTTTGTATATTTTGTGAATAATATGTAATTGTAAGTTTTGAAAAAAGACTTATAAATAGTTGAATATTGTTGTATATTTTGTGAAGAATTTGTAATTGTAAGTTTGTTTGTTGTAATACAATACAAGTTTGCAATACAATTGTTCAATTTGTAAGTTTGTTGTGAAAAATATGAAAATATCGACCTAGATGTGATATATGTGATGTTGGAAAGCTATGAAATCTATATAGCGACATAAATATAGTCTGTGTGATATTGGAAAAATATGAAAAAATGGGTACAAATTATATTTGTACATGGAAACATCCAGAAAATCAATAATCTATTCCAAAAAAATTTCATACATTTTACATTGGTTATTAGTAAACACCGATGTAAAAACTTTCAAAAAGGAACTTTTTACATCGGTTGGGGATAATAACCGATGTAAAAAGTCGCGTCACTGGGGACTTTTTACATCGGGTATTACTTCCAACCGATGTAAAAAACTGGATCAATTTTTTTAAAAAATGTGCATAATAATTGTTTCTTACATCGGTTCTTATATTATAACCGATGTAAAAAAGGGACTTTTTACATCGGTCCCAGAACCGATGTAAAAAGTCCCTGATTTACTATATTGCCTGACTTTACATCGGACCCAGAACCGATGTAAAAAGTCATTTTTGTACTAGTGCATAACCCTTTGATATGTTGCCCCTGCATTTTTTAACCCGAACGACATGACCTTGTAGCAGAAGGTGCCCCATTGCGTAACGAAAGTAGTTTTCTCCATATATTCGAGAGCCATCTTTATTTGATTATAGCCTGAGAAGACATCCATGAACGGTAAGACTTTATGCTGAGCAGTATTATCGACTAAGACGTCAATGTGTGGTAGAGGGAAATCATCCTTGAGGCTTGCCCTATTCAGATCCCTATAGTCTACGCACATGCAAACTTTCCTGTCTTTCTTTGGTACTAGCACTATGTTGGCCACCCATTAAGGATAGGATGTTACAATTAGGAACCCTGCATCAAAATATTTTATTACTTCGGCTTTGATCTTTTCAGACATGTCAGGCCTCATGTGACGAACTTTTTGTTTAACTGGAGGGCAGTCTTCTTTCGTAGGCAGACGATGAACCACAATGTCGGTATCCAACCCAGGCATATCTTCATACGACCAAGCAAATACTTCCACATAATTGTGCAACATCTGAACCACACTGCTTTAAACACTGCTTTCCAAATTAGCGCCGATCGTGATTTCCTTCTTATCTGACTCAATACCCAAGTTGACAACCTCAATTGACTTTTCATGTGGTTGAATAGCTTTTTCCTCTTGTAACAGAAGTCTGGCTAGTTCTCCTGGTATGTCAGAATCTTCCTCGCTTTCGTCTTCGGCTTGGTTGATAGGACATTCAAAGTCATAGTTGGCAATAATATAGTTGTTGACAATAGGATCCATAGTGGATGTAGACCTGCAAGAGTGTGTGTGTGTGCATGTAAGATACATGGTTATTTTTGACAATGTATTTGAAAGAAAAGAAAGACAATGAACACAAATATTTGAATGCAAAAGAGTCCAATGTGCTGAATGATCATATGATTTGATGAACATAAATAAAACCCTTGACAAAAGGACCAAAGTGCCCCGGGCAAGGCACACGGCTTAAAAGTCATTATCAAAATATTACAGACAACGAGTTCTTGAATCGATTAAAAGAAAAAACAAATAGATTACTCCTCAATGAAGGAGATGGGAACAAAGTCCTTTGTATGCCAATTGTTGAGCTTCCCTTTGGTTGTTGGGTAGACCAAGTCTTCAAAAGCACACTCATCATCAGAGTCTTCTATGGCGTTTACTTCGTGATTTTTGAGGTGGAGAGGCGGCTTTCCAGTACGAGCACCTCTAATTTCTTTCTGAGCTTTGGAGGTGAAACCTAACCCAAACTTGTCTGCCTTGAACGGATATCGAGGAGTTGGCCCCACATCTCATTGTTTCCTTCTTCTACCACAGCACGGGCATCCTTAAGAGAAACCATCTTGGGGATAACTTTATCAGTTCTTGGAGTTTCAGAGGAGATTTTGGTGGTTTCCACAACTTCAAACATTTGGCAAGGAGTTTCTATGAATTCACCATCCATTTCTACATACTTGAAAGGATTGAGATGGCTTACCATAAATTCTTCTTCTCCACAAACAGTGACAACCTTCCCTTGAACTGGATATTTTAACTTCTGGTGGAGAGTAGAAGTGACCGCCCCTGCCCCATGGATCCATGGGCGCCCAACCAAGCAAGAATACGCAGGCCGTATGTCCATTATGTAGAATGTGGAGTTGAAAATCTTTGAACCAACCTTAATTGGTAGATCCACCTCTCCATGAACCATCCTTTTCGATCCATCAAATGCCCTCACAACAATATCACTTGTCTTCAAAACCAAACCTTCACAGTCTAGCTGATCTAAAGCGCCTTTAGGTAACACATTTAAAGATGAGCTTGTGTCCACCAAAACATGTGCCAGAGTGGTCCCCTTACATTCAACAAAAACATGCAAGGCTTTATTATGATTCTTTCCCATGGGAGTTAAATCTGCATCAAAGAACCCTAAACCATTGTCAGCTGTCAGACTTGCTACGCAGTTCTCAAATTGGTCGGCTGTGGTTTCTTAAGGCACATGAGCCTTTTTCAAGAACTTAATCAAAGCTTGTGCATGGGCGTCAGAACATAGTAATAAGGACAACATTGATATTTTAGAAGGGGTTTGCTTCAACTTCTCTACTATTTTGAAGTCGCTTTTCTTTATGATCTTCAGAATCTCCTCCATCTTTTGAGTGGATTGTTCTTCCATAACAGACTTTTTAGCAGGTGCATCTTCCCTAGCAGGCTCACTTTCTTTCTCTTTCCCTCTAGTAATGGTACCAGCGTTGCCATTGGTTATGCGGACTGGAACTGTGGTAGTGGTTGGTGGTGAGATAACAGGGGAAAAGACCCTTCCTGTTCTTGTGACTTTACTAGAACCAGTAATATTAGTAACACCAGCTTCATTATCATTAGTCCAAGAATCTTGTTTTACCCCAGGATAATAAATCTCGGCACCGTAATTCCATGGTACCGCTTTATCAGAGGTGTATGGAACAGGTCCGCAGCAGTGATTATGAGAGGAGCAATGATTGGTTCGTTTGAAATCCTGATAGGAACTTTGGATGAGATCCTAAGAGGTTTGTTTGAAATTGTTATGATGGCCAAATCTTCAGCTTTGTCGATTGAATTTTTGATGGTGGGAATCTTTTCGAATAGGATTTCACGGCCATCCATTAGACGTTGTATACCTTTCTTCAATTCCTCACACCCATTGGGTTATCTCATACAGCCTACACGGACTTTTTCACAACTAGGGAAAGTCCCAGCTTTCAGCAGATTGTCTTGATTACATTCAATGGAGTAGTTAATTCTTCAACAGAGGCAATGAAGATTGTGTCTTCGACAGCATTAACACCTTTGTCGTGCTTCAACATTGGAGCGGTAATTACATTTGGCGTTGGAGGAGGATCGAACTCAATAGTCTTATTGTCAATTGAATCCTGGATTTTGTTTTTTAAGGCCCGACACTGACCAGTCTCATGCCCAAGGCTGTTTTAATGGTAAGCACACTTTGCATTTGGATTATATCTCGGTGACGAGGTGTCGGAGTTGGCGGGAGGATCCCGCAATGTCACTAAATTGGCCCTGAGCAGATGTTGAAGGGCTTGAGATAATGACATGCCTAACCTTGTAAAATGTCTTCTTGGAGCTTCAACACATTGATGATTGGTAGATAGTCATTGAGTAGCAGTCGGATTGGAGATTCGGACAGCATTGACAGCCGGATGTTTATTCATTTTGGTATGTGCCTTTGCTCCATACACAACATTAACCTCTTTCTTCGCGACAAAATGTTTCTTTACAGGATTGGGAGTGGAAGTAGATGTCACGGATATCTTTCCACTTTTAATGCCATTTTCAACCCTTTCACCGGTTAGGATTAATTCGATGAAACCAGAAGAAGAGAAGCCAACCAATAGATTAAAGAAAGGACCAAATAATGTGCTCATGAACATGTCGATGTGT